GGGGGGTGGGTGTGAATGTGTGTGGTATGATGGTCGTGGGTGTGTGGATGCGTGTGTGCGTGTATGTACGCATGTGTAACTGTAACAGAGAGAGAGAGAGAGAGAGAGAGTGTGTGTGTGTGTGGAGAGGGGAGGCAGGGGGCCTTCCCCCACTGGGGGACACCACGCGCACTCGCAAGCGCCATCGCGCAACGCACTGCCAGGGATGTGCGGCTCGAGCCCCGCCCACCATCCCGCAACCCGAAAGCACGGGTCGCCCGGATCCCCCAAAAACCCTACCCCTGACCCCAAACCCCTGAACCGTCATCCTATATCCACTGCGCCCCCACCTGTGGGGCGCCCTGCCCGGGAACTCCTCCTTTGGGTCGTAGTCCTTCTCCTTGACGCCCCAGTCCACGCCCCAGTTGCGGTTGGTGTCGACGCCGCGGCCGTTCTTGCGCTCGCACAGCTGCCCGGACTCCACGAGGTCGCGGCCGGACACGTTTTCCATGGGCAGGACCTGTGTACGCAGGCACAGCAAATAAAACGGGCTGGGTGAGAAGGGTCGCGTGCCGCTGCCGGCCCTGCACCAGCTCCCTCCCTAATCCAACGAGCCGGTCAATGTTGGCGGTCAAACTCCCAGAGGGGTCGTGAAAGCCACGCCCGGCGGCGGTCGAGGGGGGGGAGGGGGTCTGAGAGCGCGGCTGCGACCCGTGTGGCTCTCTGAACGGCGCGCGGCTGCACTGCAGTCCCCGCTCACCCTGAACGCGCACGCCTGCAGAACCCTCTGCAGCCGCGCCGCGCGCCGCTTGCTGCCGGCCGCCCGCTCCAGGATCTTGGGGTCTGTCAGTGATCTGAGGAATCGCAGGCCGACCTCCGAGGTTATGTACTCGCGCCCGTGCTCTCCGAAGTCCTGATGATGATTTCGAGGCGCGGATCACGGGGCGGTTTGGGGGTGGTGCGAGGGATGAGGTAGGGGGTATTAGATGGGAAGAGGCGAGGGTGGGCGGCGGGGGCCCGCAGCGGCGGCTGGGGTCGACGGACCGAAGTCAAACCAGCAGCGACTCAAGGGGCAGCAGCGGCCTGTTATGAGGATGAATGGAACACCGCAGCACAGGCCCCAGCTGGCACTGCATCTGCGGCGCAGGGTCGTCAGGCCGTGGCGTGCTGGCAAGGCGCGCCGCGCCCGTCGGCGCTCGCGGGCGGCGGCCTGCGCGGGGCGATGGCTCACCAGCAGCAGCCTGACTTTGTCCTCCTTCGAATCTGTCAAGCCGCCGGGCTCGACATCGACAATCTGTGGTTGATTGTCACAATAAAAGGTCGCGTTAAGGTCGTCGTGCAGGGAGGTCCCACAACCGGGTCATCGTCTGTATCCAAGGTTTCCGAGGGGAGGTGTGGCTGCTCTGCAAGCTCTTGGCCTGCCCTCAGGCGCAGCTCCCGCATACGCTGGTGCTCGCGCCGGCTCGCGCGCCGCGCATGCAGCTGGCGCATCCTGTCTGCCCGCCTCTGCCGCCACACCCCCTGCTGCTGCTGCTGCTGCTGCTGCTGCTGCTGCTGCTGCAGCTGCACACGTCGAGCCGCTAGCTCCGCCGCATGCGGGCCGATGCGGTTGCCGCCTACCAAGACCTCGGCTTTGTAGTCCCCATCCTCGGCTTTCTCGAATCTGCTGCTCATGATCTTGGGGTTGGCAGCCGCCAGATCAGCCGCCTCTTTCAAAATGTCCACCCTGCAGCGAGGGCCGTTTGGGAAACGGCTCGGCCCCTTGACGCTTTGAATCGTGCGCATTTTCGCATGGGTCAAGCGCACTGTGCGCGCGACACCCCCAACAGGCGGTGGTCCACGTTCGCGATAGGTTGGCGGCGTTCCCGGAAGAGATGTTTTTTTCGGGTGCAGTGAGGCGTTCGCGTGCAGAAGCCGCGCAGGGGATGCATCCACACAGGCCGCTTGCTTATGACTCTGGGATGTGTCGACGCAGCCGCCAACCGGTGGACTCAGTCGGATGCATGGAATGTAATGCGGTGCTGCTGCAGCATGCACCCACCTGCGCTTGTATATGGAGTAGTCTGGAGTCTGGATCCCCGCCGCGGCGTCGGCCAGGGCGGGCGCCAGGTGCAGCCACAGTATCAGCAGCGGAAGTACCAGCGCGAGCGGCGGGAGCGCTCGCTGCAACTTGCTGTGGTGCATGGAGCCGCTGCGCCTCACGGGCCGCTGTCTATTGCCTAGCTATCGAAGATTTAGCGATCATGTACTGCCGCTGTGAAAGGCTCTACCCGAGTTGGCGAGCTGCAGGTTGGTGATGGTTTGCCGTTCCTGGGTGATGGGCCTCCAAATGACACGCTACCTTCTACGATGTGCATTTTACAATTTCATGATCCCTTTGCCTGCCAATCCGAGATCATCCGGTGGTTCAATGTGTTCTTCAGTGCCAGGGTCATGAAGCCATTGATATCGTACCTCGACTTCACGGCTGATTAATCATCGCATATGGCAGCGTGTCAGCTCGGGAGGTGTCTTCGCACAGCTTGGGGCAGGCTTGGGGCAGCATTGCTGTTGACTAACCCTTTGTCATCCCAGCCAGCCGTCCACAGTTGTTTTGAGTCAATCGCTTGTCGTTGGTGCAGCGTCATAAAATAAAAGTATACCTCATTACCATGGAGTCGTAGTCGGCCGTCACCGTCTCACCGGGGATCAAAGGAGCAAGTGTGCGGCAAGCAGCGGAGTGCACAAAGCGAGTGGGGTATCCCTGCCCGCACCTGTTCCACCGGAACTCATATCACAAATTCACTGGCGTCTATCGCCGTCATGCTTATGATGGCTTCATGGTTTGAGGTTGATGTTGCTCATTGGCGCTGACATAATCGTCATCACTACCTCAACCACCACCACCACCACCAGCAGCAGCAGCCGCGGCAGCCGCATAGTGCATCAGCTAGGCGGAGGCCCATGTGGCAAGAAGGACCGGCGGCCGTGGAGGCGCATGCGTATCAGCTGGCAAGCTGGACTCGCTAAGCCATGGAGTTTACAGCAGGCACGGTTACAACCCATCCCTGACCAGCATTGGGCACAGGCAGGCGCATAGAACAGACAGGACAGTACATCGCGCCCATTGCATGTTGTTTGAAGTGTTGGGCTGCGCATCAGACCTTCAGGTCTACATCAGGAACGATGACACAGGGGGTCAGCAAGGCCCTGCCAAAACACAACCCAACATGTCCCCCGGTCCTCGCGGTGTGCCACAGCGGAGCAGGTGCCTGAACGCTCAGCCTTTGACAAAGGTAAAAAAACATGTGCAGGGGCCACGAGCTACGACTGATCGCACAACATATCACGGATCATGGCGTCACATCACATTAATCCATCTTGCAACGCGGCATCAGCGTCCAAGCCCAGGCTGGACACCGCCATTCTCACCTGCACCGCCCCGTCCGCCCGAAACAACCGCGTCTCCCACCACTCCTCCTCGTCCCAGCTTCCCTCCGGTCCCCACGCGTCCCAGAAAATGTCGCAGCGCCGCCCCTCCGGCCACCATTGGCCTGTCAAGACGTGGCCGTTGACTCGATAGCTCTCCTGATGCTCATCTGCACGCAAAACGTGATCGCCAGAAAAGAACTCCGGCATTTCGTCCTCAAGTGCCACAAAGCGCATATAGTCGCGCCGGAAGGCGTAGTGCGAGAAAGAGAGAGCCGGCGTGATCACAGCCGGCGCCGCCGATGCCGCCGCGCGGGCGCCGCCGGGCGGCGCCGCCACCAGCGTCAGCGGCGGCGGGTCGGCTCGGGCCTGCAGCGTGAAGGTCACAACGGGGGGCCCCCGCGGGCCTTCTTCGCCGCGGTCGTTGGAGGCGGCCAGGCGCAGGCGCCACGCGAAGCCGCCGAAGTGCCCAGTCTCGTGCCACGTGGTGGACGCGACGCCGCCGGCCGGCTTGCACTGCGCCGCCTCGCACAGCTTCTTGATCTCAGATACATCCAGCCTCCACTCCAAAGAGAACACGTCGGTCCCTTCGATCCACCTCCGGCTGTCCGGCGCCCGCCGCGGCAGCCGCCACGCCGCGTGCCGCGCGAAGCCCGGCAGCTGCTGCAGCAGCCGTCTGTACTCATCGTCAGTCGTGGACGCGTACAGGGCCGCCAGATGCAGGTCGGCTGCGGGCACGTGGGCTGTGAACCACGCCTGCGCTGCGACGCCCGACAAGTAGCGGTGCGGCAGGTGCGGGGCCCGCACGCACGCCGCGAGTGCAGCAGCTGCCGCGCTGCCTCTGGCGTCGGCGTCGGCGTCGGAGTCCTCGCCGCCGCTGCTGCTGCTGCTGCTGCTGCTGCTGCTGCTGCTGCAGTTGTGGTCCCGCCAGGCGGCGGCTGTGTAGAAGAAGACGGCCTCGGAGAACGCATGCGACCCGTCAGCGCTCAGCAGCGCCCTGCGCCGATGCGGGGTTGTGACAACGCAGGACAGCTCGCTCCGCCGCGCAGCGAGAGGGTCGCAGATGCAGCCGCAAGCGCCATGCGAGCCGAGCGAGACCCGTCAGCGCTCATATATAGACTGCAGTCGCATGCTGGCGTTGTCTGTCACGCGCCTCATCGCCTCGAGCGGCAAGTCCAGCAGACGCTGCCGCGCCTTGGGGTCCTGCCACACGGCGTCGAGGTCCCCGAGACCCTCCAGCAGCGCGAGCAGCGCCGCATCCGCCAGCAGCGGCGCCACGGGGTGACCTGGCGCCCACGCGAGCGACGCACGACAGTCACAATCATGGATTTTCGGGGCGCGAAGGAATGGCCGGCGCGCGGATGCGTGGAACGGGCAGGTCCCCTTGCGTGCGCACAGTAGCGGCCGGAGCTACGGGCTGGGTGCCCCCGTGGAGAGCGGCACGCGAGAGGGGCAGCCTTGTGAGGGCCCTCCCGCTAAGCAGGCCGCTCAAGCCAAGCGCACCTTCCGGGAGGCTGTAGAAGGCAGTAACAGCGCCCCAGTCGCTGCGGAGGGCCGCCCGGAGGGCGCGCAGCGCGGCTTGGGAGCAGGTGGGGGCCTCGAGGCGTGTAGAGAGGGCAAGGACCTTTGGGGGCAGGAGTAGGGATGATGCGGCGACCAGGAGGGCGGAACGGCGCGGGTGAATGGCTGGGCATGAGCAGGTATGTGTTTGTGCGCACGCGCGCGCGTGCGCGCGCGCGCG